GTCCCTAGGCCGACTGCTTTGTAAACCCTTGTGTCTGCTGGCAGCCATGTCAGCTCTGGTCAGACGTCTGGTATTCACAGCGCAAGCTCTCCGGCTGCAGGGCAACACCAGAACAGGAGGGAAAACAGGCCGCCATTTTCCTGGCACCCATCTCTTCTCTGTGCAGTTAGCTCAGCAGAGAAGTTCTCAGACAGAGCCCTGAAGCTTCCCAACACTGCTCTCCTATCCTGCCTCAGCCATAGTTTGAGGGGACCCTGTAAAGGGTGGAGGGGTGTGCAGTCTCCAGCTCAGACACGCCAAACTCTGCCTGCTACCACAGGGTCAGCAAGTGCTCCTGGGCCCCAGGACCCGGACTGGGTCCCACCCACAGTGGTGTCCATCATTTGCATCACGCCTTGGGATGCAAACCAATAGGCAAGATGGAGCTCGTGGGATGTGCACTCCCAGGAGTTACTGTCTCCACGGTGCGCCACCTAATCTGGAGCGCAGCTCCTATGCCATCTGCCAGGAGTCCTTGCTGACATGCATGCAGCGAGCCTGCCGGGTAGCAGAGCAAGGGTGGGCTCAGGAGACCGGAAGGAATTCCTATGGGACAGAACTTACTGAAGTCGCTAGGAAGACTGTGGTTCAAGTTTCTGTAGAACTCCGTTCGGTGAGCCTTCTTTAGCCCAGTGCAGAGACCAAAGTCGGACAGTTTCACGTGGCCCTAGAGATGCACAGACCCAAAACACAATGTAAGGCCCACACCCAAGAAAAGCGTCATTTACCCACTTATGTCCTCTGACAAAACACTGAGCAGATCTACTGCCTGCCCGAAACGAGGTCTTGAACAAGCCAGTAATGTTCCCAACAAGCATTTACTTCAATGGGAACTGAAGGCCTTTAGCACTTTGCAGGATTAGCCCCATTGTCCATTGGCTTCGTGCCATTCAATAATGAACACCCCAGGTAAGAACAGCCCCTCTCCCCCTCCCCCACCACACACAATTACTTTGGGCAGTTGTTGAACTGGTCTTATCCCCAGTGCAAGGCAGCAATGACTTACAACGCAAAGTTCTTTTCAAGCCTAAAAATATCATATTAAATCCTAAAGGCACATGACACTTGTGATCTGCTCCAATCAGAGCATTTCACTAGTTTTGGAATTAACCGGATTTCAAATGCTTCTTGCCAGCAGATTTCTCACGGATGAGATAAGCAGACAAACAACATTGTATTGAGCACTAGAAAGGAATAGAAATACTCCAGCTTACTGGGACCGAGCGACTACAAACTCATAAGTGAACTGGTATCCTGACCAGTTCCGAGAGAGATTTCGAGAAGAGCTAATGAGACCAGAAGGCGGGGGGGGGCCAGGTCCCCGGGGAGCCAGTTTAAAAACCAGCTCCCCTCATGGACCAGCTGCCTGTCGCCTTGCACTGCTGCCTCTGATATACTACTGCCTTGGACCCCTCAAGTCCAGGGGCTGCTGCTGCAGGCCGTTCTGCTGCCTGTGACAGGGGGCAGGTTGGAGCTGATACGCACAGGGAGCTGGATACGAGGCAGATCTGGTGCTCATGGGAGCCTGCTTAAAGCCAGCTCCTCACAGGCTTATCGGTTATCGTGTAGTCGACTGCACGTAGACATCCCTAGTGTAAACACACTGCTCGACATTTGGTGAGCACATGCAAAGCGGATGTCAGACCCAAAGGAAATCTCAGACTAAGGAGGCAGAAATGAAACCAAAAGGATGGTTTGAAAACAGCTCGGAACAAGAGAGCACTCCGAGACTAAGGTTCTGGCCTTGGAAGGCTGGAGATTTTCTGATACCCACGTGTCACCCAGCGATTAAGGCGGGTGGGCAATAATTTGACACAGGCCACTCCAAGATTTGGTAAGGGGGCAAAGGCTGCACTTTTCTGGGGAGGGGGTGCAGAGTCTGGGTACAGAAGGAAGCTCAGGGGAGGGGACTGGGATGCAGGAGAGGAGATGGGAGTTTGGGTGAAGGACGTTGTGATCTGCACCCCAACCCCCTCCTTCACCCAAACTCCCTCTCAGACCCTACACCCTCCCCTGCATGAGGAGAGGACTCCGGCCTGTGGGAGGAATGCAGGCTCTGGGAGGGAGCTGTGACCTAGTGAAGGGGGGAGTGCACAGGGGGTGCCAGGTTCAGGCTCTGGTTGGGAGGCATTTACCTAGGCAGCTCCCGGTCAGTAGCCCAGCGGGACCCTTAGGCGGGCTCTCTGCCTACCTCAGCCACAGGCTCAAAGGGCTGGTTGCTCCACGTGGCTCTCTGTGCCACGTGTGGTGGGGCTTTACGTGCTGCCCCCTCCCCAGCACTATCTCTCAGCTCCTACTGGCTGCGGGGGGGGCAGCGTGTGAAGCCTCTCCCCTGCCACCCGGGTGCATGGAGCAGCCAGCCAGCTTGAGCGGCGGTGGTGGCTCCGTGCCTAAGGATCCTGATGGGAAGGGGTGCAGGCTGGATTGAAAGGCTTGGCGAGCCGCCTCCTGCCCGCCCCCGCATGAAGGGAATCACTTTTATTGGACCCATCTCATCAACAGAAACCAGCCCAATACAAGATTTTACCTCCCCCACCACGTCTCCCTCAAATCCCAGGACCAACATGGCTACAGCAACACTGCAGACAGCGGTTAACACACTTGTACCTTACTGTCCAAGAGAAGGTTATCTGGCTTGATATCCCGGTGGATAAACCCCAGCTGGTGAATGGAATCAATGGCTAGCACAGTCTCCGCTATATAAAACTGGGTCTCTTCTTCTGTTAGCGTGTCTTTTTTCATCAGCAGAGTCATCATATCGCCTAGACAGAGTCAGCCGCACAAACAGCAGAAGTCAATACCAATGACACTCTAGCCTCTTAGTAACACACATCAACACTGACACGAGACATTTTACCTCTCGGTGAATTTAGACAGCTCTTATGAAGCAATTCTCATTTCTACACTGTGGATCACAAACACCCAAGGAATGCATCCAGACATGCACATAGTTCTTCATTCTGCTACAGTCAAGCCTAGTGGTGCTCAGTAGTTTGTCAGCTGATAGCAATGAGCCAATAAAATAAAGCTTCCATAAAATGCAAGCTCTCTGGGGCTAGTGCTATGCCTGAGAACTCAGGTTACCAGCCCAAGGTAGCACGTCTCCCAATGTAGCCTAGATTCCAGGCAGCATCTTCTCTCGGTGGCCTTACAAACAGCGCAATCGCAGGCCAAGAACTGGAGCTAACACAGAACAATAGCTTGAAGTGTTCTGTGATGTCAAGTCCCATATGAAGAGACATCAAAAAGACGGGGTCTTTTCAGCTTAGAAAAGAGATGACAAAGGGGAGATATGATAGAGGTCTATAAAACCATGAGTGGTGTGGAAAACTGAATATGAAAAAGTTATTTCCTTGTTCCCAAAACATAAGAACTAGGGCTCACCAAATGAAATTAATAGGTAGCAGGTTTAAAACAAACACAAGGAAGTTTTTCTTCACGCAGCACACAGTCAACCTGTGGAACTCCTCGCCAGAGGATGTGGTGAAGACCAGGACTTTAACAGGGTTCAAAAAAACTAGATACATTCATGGAAGACAGCCATTGATGGACCTATTAGCCAGGATGGGCAAGGATGGTGTCCCTGGCCTCTGTTTGTCAGGGGCTGGGAATGGATGACAGGAGAAGGATCACTGGATGATTCCCTGTTCTATTCACTCCCTCTGGAGCACCTGGCATTGGCCACTGTCGGAAAAGAGGACGCTGGTTTGGCCCAGTGTGGCTGGTCTTATGTTCTTAGATAGGGATCTGTTGGCGGCAGGTATGGAGACAACCATTTCTGAAGAAATGCAGTAGACCCAACTAGTTTGTACTAATCACCAAGAGACCCGCTGAAATTCTGTGTGCACAAGTAGATACAATTTCAAAGGATTTGCCAAATGTCCTTTGCTTATTCTGATCATTTTAGTCTAGTTTTCATTAATGGTCATAACATTATTTGGTACATAATCAGAGTAATGGACAGAGGACGAATCACTTAACAGCCAGTCAATTAAGCCATCACAGAGAAGTGAAGAGGGACAGTTGCGAGAGTGTAATCTGTTGTGTGCTATTTAGCAAGCCTGGTACAAAATCAAATGCATTAGAGTCTATTTGAGAGTTTCTGTCTGAGTTATATAAAACATCCAATTGGCGAAAAGCTGAATTATCCACATAGAAATGTCCCTCCAAGCAAAGTTAGTTATGGACACCCACACCAGATCTGGACCTCAAGTAACAAAGCTACAGCCCGAAGCACATTTAGCAAGAACAGGCTGCATTATTACACAACAGCAGGTCTGAAGTCATTCTTTTGCTTTCAATTATTGCATGGTAAGTTTTCAGTTGTTAGTAAACTGTAGTAACGTCAGCACTCTAGACTTACCCTCTTTATTTTCCACAAATAAAGCTTTCCAAGTTATTTGTGATGCCAGCCAATGACAAGAAAAGAGCTAGAAAACTGAAAGCTTGCTATGATTTTAAGAGGGCAGGTGTCAGACTGAAGTAAGGCTGGGCAAAACATCTAGGTCAAGTTTTTAAACAGCCGTACCCAAGCCCAAGGCACCGACAGTTCAGTACAGGCCTGATCTTGCAAGGTGCCAATCACCCTCACTCCCCAATGACGTCACCTGGCATTAAGAATGGCACGGCTCCCTGCAGCGTCAGCCCCAACACAACACTGGGTGGCAATTCCACATGTACAAATATATGCTGGGTTTGTTATAAAGCGAGAGGACAGCCACAGAACAAAAGGAAATTACCTCCAGGCAGGAACTCCATAATAAGGTAGAGGTTTAACTTATCTTGAAAACTATAGAACATTTTCACAACCCACAAGCTGTCCGCCTCCACTAGAATGTCCCGCTCTGCACGAATATGGCCAACCTAGGGTATATGGATGCAGATGGTTAACGATTATGTTTATTACTTGTTGTTAGTTGCATTTATCTCACACACACAATTCAAACTCTGTTTTCAGGGGGATTCAAAGGCTGACTATGCAACTGTCAGGTCTCTACATTAAGACTGGAAATATCATGGATCAGTACCTTCATCACTGGTTATTTTCATGCATTAAAAGAGTGTGACAGGTTTAGACAATTATACCTTTGGAATACTGCAATAGGTTTATAAAATATGCTTAGGAGAATGACTAGGCAGAAACCATACTAAAGCTCACTGCCACATGCTTGTTTGGAATATACCTACTGAACAAATTCCTTGGGATTTTGACTCCCTCTGGCCCCTCAGGGCATAGAGTGAAGAGTTGCCATGTTCAAAGATTCCAGCTGTAAAGCTTATGGCAGGATTTTGTTTTGAGACGTCTTCGGTCTCTAGGAACTGACCGTGTAACTGTTCACCAATGCAAGCAAAGGGTTCATAATATGACCCTAGTTTTAACAGCAAGTGAAGGAGGCTTGATCCTAGAAACACCACCACAAGTAGTGTTTGCTATAATATTTAGTCCAATTAACTGCACTCAGCAGGACTCTTTACAATAGCGAGCACCACGTCGGCAAGGTCAGGTCCAAAAGTTGTCTTTTTCCTCATCCATTTGAGCAATGGATCACTAACACCGCAGGGTGCGACTCAACCCACAGCACACAATTATTCACTAAGTTTTCATGGAGAAAACTCATCTCATTTTACCCTAGATTTCCATTTACATATACACCTACTGTGCCTATAAAAAACGGATCCCCTGCGAGCCCAGCTGCGGCTAAGGTAGTATGGAGAAGCTTTTTTTTTCTTCCCCCAAGCTACCTGCTTTATACCTGGACTGCAGACAAACAGAGCACTTCAAAGTCTACTATTGTTACTTCCTCAACCTTCACAAGGAAGAGAGAACCTTGACTGAATTATAGATATGATGAACATATACATTTGATGTTGAGGTACTTATTATACAAGACAAACTACTTACTGTTTGGGCTAAAATATCTGCTATATTAAGAGCACTAACAGTTAACATCTAATAGATGAGACATGGATATTTCACGACCAGATCTACTAGTTCCACAAGAGAGACTGGGAGTCAAACCCAAGTCTCAAAACTCATCAATGCATGCCCGCACACCCAGCACTGACTTTCAAAGTTGCTATGTAAAGACAAAGTCAAGAGTAATATCCTATTTTTAATTAATACCTTTAAAAGACAAGAGTGAATTCAGGAAGTGATGCCTACAAATCATTACTTCCTATGGACTCCAGTGACAAACAAGTATTGGTTAGTTCAGACAGTAATATTCCCAGAAGTGCTATCAAACATGTTACACGATGTTCAGAGATTGGCATTCATATGGAAAGTGCCACCCTTTTGGGAGTCCTGAGAGTGGGTCTGAAGGATTCGTGCTGTTCCAGCAACTGAGATTTACAATTAAATCCATTAGACCAGGTAAATCAGGAGGAAATCAGACTTGCAGTCAGCGGGCACTCTGAAGATTGTACTGAGAGTTCACGTACAACTGATGTCAAGTGATAACAGTATCACATCAAGTACAAAAGTGTTCCTCTACTCTGTTTAAAAGGAGGAAAACTGCTGTTTGGAAAAAAAAATTAATTTTTCCAGTTAGGGTGTGTTCTAACAGCAGAGCTTAACTCAAAATAAGCTATGCAAATTGAGCTACGTCAATTGCATAGCTTATTTTGAAACTGGGAGCATCTACACAGCACTTATTTCAAAATAGAGCCCTCTTCCTCCAACTGCCCTTACTCCTCGTACAATGAAGGTTACAGGAGTTGAAGTAAGAAGTCCTCCAGCTTGACAGTATTTCAACATTTTTTCAAAATAGTCCGTGTCTACACAGCAGGCAGTTCTTTTGAAATAATGCTAATTATTTTCAAAGACTGTTGCTGTGTAGACGTACCCTTACGGACTAACACAGCTACCCTCTAATGCTGTTTTGAAGACACCTTGCTTCTCCAAGTATTCAAATGAAAACAAAATTTTCAGTCCTGCTTGGTATCAGACCAGAATGCTTCTTGCCAGTACAAACTGCAACTTTCATCAAAAGATTGACAGAGGTTGCAGATATATATCTTTTTTTAATGCTGGTTTAAACACATGAATACATATTACTACATATTTACAATTAGTTACCGATACTGTGTTTATCTGTTTTTAAGTGAAAACTATATTTTTCCTCATAGAATCCCAGGGCTGGAAGAGACCTCAGGAGTCATCAAGTCCAGCCCCCTGACCAAAGCAGGACCAACCCAACTAAATCAACTCGGCCAGAGCTGTGTCAAGCTGGGACTTAAAAACCTTTAGGGGTGGAGATTCCACTACCTGTTAGGTAACCCATCCCAGGGCTTTCCCCCCTCCTAGGGAAACAGTTTTTTCTAATATCCAACCTAGACCTTCCCCACTGTAACTTCAGACTATTGCTCCTTGCTCTGCCATCCACCACCACTGAGAACAGCCTCTCTCCAGCCTCTTTGGGACCTCCCTTCAGGAAGTTGGAAGGCTGCTCTCAAATCCCCCTTCACTCTTCTCTTCTGCAGACTAAACAAACCCAAATCTCTCAGCCTCTCCTCCTAGGTCATGTGCTCCAGCCCCCTCAGCATTTTGGTTGCCCTCCGCTGGCCCCTCTCCAATGCATCCACATCCTTTCTGTAGTGACTACAAAAGTTATATGGTTTTTCAGTCTTCAGAAAGAATAACAAGCTTGAAATTTTCAAATCCAAAGCAGGTTGGAAAGTCGGGGGAGAGAAATACATACATCTCAAAGTTTTTAACCCACTTTTATCCTGAGTTTGTAATGAAGCAGAAAAACAGATTTTTAAAAGAAAGAGGCAGAGCTACCAGAATTGCTATTTGAAATTAATAGTAATCACCTGCTCTTTTTCAAGCATGTCAGCTTTGCGTAGTATTTTCATCGCATATACGTGCCCTGTGTCCTTCTTCTGGACAAGCCGCACCTGCAAGTTTTGCAAAAATATGGAGTCAGAAATACATCCTTATCACCCCAACTTTTCCAGATTTCTTTTACTGTACTCTGAATATTATACCCCAAAAGCAAACATGTCACTTCTAGTCTGCAAAGCAGAATCAGACCGTAAAGATAAGCAGCATCCAGTGGCTTAAGGAATGGTAAGCCCTAAGATCCCGGATCATTATACAAACGATGACTTGAACTTCATGGTCCAAATTCAGTTTAGTGACCAAGTTCTAGGTCATGAAAAACCTTGTAAAAAATGCCCTCTGGTGTGCAGTTTCAGTTATCACCACAGCCTCAAAAACCAGTATCCCAAGATCAGCATGGAGGCAGACTGGCACGGCACCTGTACTGCTGCTTGTTACATCAGTTCTACAGCTAGAGGGGCCTGAACACCAAGGCTGCCAACCAACCCCCTTTCACCAGCACTTTGGTCCTTTACATATGTGGATTTATGCTTTTTCATACAAATTAGCCATGACAACACAAAGACAGGTGTAACTGAATGTTAAACTTTAAACAAGTACTGTGCAGTGATGATTGTGTCATTTGGCTTCAAACTGTACTGTTGTGACCTTTTAAACACAATCTTTTCAAAGCATTCCAGTCTCTATAATACTATTACGGTTTTATCGAGCAATCAGTTGTTCTGTTCTTACCTCTCCAAATGCCCCTCTGCCTATTACTTTTAAGGACTCAAAATCTTCCAAACCAAGTCTTGTTCTCTTTAAGCGAAGAAATTCTGTTTCCTTTCGGGCATGTGCTGACCTCCTGATTCTCTTCTAGTGTTTGTTTTAAAAAGAAAACAGACAGTTTATGAGAATCCATAGTAAAGGTCCCATCTGGATCATAATGAACCAATTAGAAAGGTCACCAACAGCACGACTATAGGTTAGTTATATTATCTACCCAAAAGCCTTGTTCGGTGTTCATACCTCTTCATCTTTTAAACCTTCCTCTTCCATCACTTTTTCTAGCTTCTTCTGTCTGGGGAGGGGGAGAGAGGGGAAAAAAAATCATATTTAATTCTTCAGAAAACCCAACAAAAAGCAAACCTACTTTTAACACCAAAAGAGAGTGTGGTCTAGAACTAAGAGCCAGAAAACTAGGAATCTGGATGACCAGATTGTTCCTGCCTTACCCAGAGTTGCACCAGTCAGCATGAAAGTCTAACCTCTCTGCCTTGATTTATTCGTCTGGTCAAAGGATATGATACTTGCTTACATCATATGGGCATCAATGTTTATTCAAATACTTTCAAATGCTTGGCGAAAAGCCAATGTGGAAGCCTGAAGATTCAGAGTATATAAAGATGCTAGTCTCTCCAGATTTATACTCAAGCCTAACTTTCCAATAGAAGTCTAACTTCACCACCTGCCCTCTAAAACTCTGCTCATCTAAACCAGTGTGCCTGAAATCTCACATGCTTTATTTGCCACAAAGAGGGTCTGGTGACTACACATGCCGACGGGGCTCGGGAAATCTGAGTTTGGTTCCTGTCTCTGCCACTAGTGCCCAGCGTGACACTAACAAATCACTTAGTTTCCCTGAACCTCAGTTCCCTTTCGTAAAACAAGTAAAATAATTCTCTGCCTCCCCAGAGGTGTTGAAAGGATAAACTCATTAATGGCTGAGAGACATTCAGCTATCATGGAGACGGGAGCCATATTTGTACCTAAACCGATACTAATGGATTGCTCCTTCAAAATATTGATATACATTTAAACCCTTAATTCCACTCTGTTCTTCCTTTAGGAAAATAATCTATTTTTGTTAACATTTAGCACTGGCCAGTGCCATGAAAAATTCCTACGTTAATCATGTTCTCAGCTTCCCTCATGGTCCTGGACTTGATAACCTCTTGAAGTTCCTTCCAGTTCTAGGATTCCCGATGGCCTTTGCAACATTGTATTGTACTAATGCACCAAAGAGTTCCTGTTCAATATGCAAGTCATTCTGTGCAAGATCCTTTTCCAGCCTCGAGTCGCCACTAAGCAAATGTGGGGGGGTCTGATAACATTTTAGCCCAGAATCTCTATAACGTGGCATACTGTAACTGCCCTCCCCTTATTTAGGCCCCCAGGAAGTACAATTTGCTCACCATCTCTCACGTACACACACCCCTCACTCAAATACCAAATATGAGTTACTTGGCAGGACCAAGCAATGCTGAAGCTTTTTCCAGTGTTGAGCATTTAGAGATAAGAGAAGAAAGGCTTTCTGAAAATTCTGGCTAAAGGGCCTATTCTTGGGCGGTGCTCACCACACTGAAATGTAACTGAATTCCATGGGCATTTAGGATGCTCAGCACCTCAGAGAAGCCGACCCACAGAGAGAAAAGAAAGGTTTCCAAGGATACTTAAGGAATTCATTACACCCAGTAACAAAGCCTGTTAGTCCTGTGGCACCTCAGAGACCAATACAAATATATGAGCTTCTGGGGATGAGACCCACTTCAGAGGATGATAAAGATGCTCATCTGAGGAAGAGGGTTTTGCTCACGAAAGTTCATACTCAACATACCTATATATTTTTTATATATTTTGTTAGCTTCCAAGGTGCTACAGGATGACTCGTTTTTAACGTTACAGACTAACATGGCTATCCCTCGGAAACTTATCATCAGATGAGTTGAAGTGCAAATAGCACAACTGAAGATATATAAAGCAGCACAAGAAGTACTTGTCATTTGTAGGACCCGTGTTAATGAAGCTATGGTTAATGCATTACAAAGCCAATTTCTCCTGCCTTTAACATTCATTTTCACATCAATAGTATGAACGCTCATGAACCGATATATTTTTGTTAGTCTGTATGGTGCCACAAGATTACTTGTTGTTTTCAAAGCCAATTAGTTAGTTAAATGACTGTCTAAACAGCAGTTGCTTGGTGTCTTTGAAGAGGTGAATTTCCCCTTATTAGATGGCTGTATCAAACTGATATACAAAATTAAGCTGAATCCACATGAGTTCATAAAACTACAAGAGATGTCAGAAAGGAATAAAAATACCAAGGAGCAATAGTAGGAAGAGTAAATATTTGTACAGACAGGCCTCCTACTTTACTGCTTACATGAATCTAAGGTAACTATAAAATTGGTTTCCCCTCGGCTATATTAAAATCTCAACAATGTGTCTATTTGACTCTATATTTAAGCTTGAAAATGTTTCGCTGATTTCATCAAAGCAGGCTCAACAAAACAGATGTTTTTAATTGCTCAGCAATGGAATAATGGACTTAGGAACACACAATCAGAACAGTATTTTCTTTTAATTGACAATAACATCCTCTGTGTCAAGCATAACATTTGTATTCATAAAGCATCATATGTAAGCATCATATCTGACAAGCTTAGATGAGCGAGCTGGTTACCAGCAAGGCCTATGGTAACAATTCTCCCCTCTCAACTGGGATTATTACCTCATTTCCCGTTCTTCATGTTGTGCTATCAGATTGCTATAGAAGTTTTCTAATGTCACTTTTGTCATTGTAACTCGCTCTTTGGTGTGGTTACTCATTGATGAACAGGGTGTTGGACCCGTCATTGCCATGGCTCCTGGAAAACAAGGGAGAAAAAGGGGGGGGAAATACTACTAATGACAACACAACATGGAAGCAAGAATTCACCAAATAAGTGACACTCAGCTACATTAGACATTGGAATTAAGAATCCAGAGTGAAGTTAATCTTTACATTAGTTTTAATATCCAAGTTCTAATAAAGAGAACAATTATGATAGATGAGTTGTGAGTGTAGGGAAGAGGGTTACAAAATAAAAGGTACAAAAACAGGAAGCCTGACTTGAACACCACTCAGGAAGAGGGAAGGAAACTTGACAAATACGATGCCTCAAAAAAAACCACAGTTTAGGCAGCATTGAAAATGTTTTATACTTCTCCCAATCCATTCTCTTCATCTCCTAAAAATGTTAGAGATGAAAACGCCCACCCTTAAGACACCCAATCAGAGGTTCCTCTTCTTTTACACTTGGAGAAATAGAGCATCTCTAAGTCAGTAACATGCAGACGAAACTTACCAGAAATCAAAATATTAACAAATGGATGTGTGGAGCCATTGAAGACAGACAAAAATTTGCTGTTTTCGCTGTTTTTACAATTAGGCTTTCCTACTCGACAAGAAGTTTCCACAAAACAAACTGCCAAAATCCAGATAGAAAACTACCTCTAAACAAATATGAACTTAAAAAATAGGCTTTTTTCAGTTTACAACATCTACATCTTAAATTAGTTTCTAAAAATAAAGTTTAAAGACATAACACCAAGTCAATTTTCTCTTAGGTCTCAAATTCAGGGCAAAACTTGGGTACCCTTGCTTATTTATTGCAAGAAAAAATAAATAAAATGCAATGTATTTAAAATCACAAGCTCTTTGACCAATGTAAGACTGTTTTCTCATTGAGGTTTTAAGACAAACATTTTTCTCATTCATAGAGATGTAGGTTTGTTACAGTGCAGAAAAAGAGTCGTGCATACTGTGACTTCTCTGTTTGTCCATGAGGCTTGAGATGGGTTACAGAGCTGGGGCAGAAGAAAAGCCTAGGAGAAGGAGCTGGCAAAGGAGCTCACCTCGTATTCACCCACAGCAGCATCTCCTGTGAGGCCGAGTCCAGCTTCCCATTCTGGGACTTAAAATCTAGCACTGAGGGTAGCAGCACAACTCAAACATGCCCTGCTGCCTCTCCCGCAACTACAATGAAAGGAGGCAGGGCCACACCAGAGCAAGTGGTAGCATAAGTCCATGCACCAAGTCACAATATCTGCAGCAAGGAGCCTGGCTCAGCTCCACAGCACACAGGAGGCACTGATGCCTATCCCTGGTGAATGCAGGCTAAGCTTTCTTCCCAGCCCCCTACCAGGACAAGAAGCAACGGGTTTAAATTGCTGTGAAAGAGGTTTAGGTTGGACATTAGGAAAAACTTCCTAAGTGTCAGGATGGTAAAAGGCTGGTTAGTCTTTAAACTGCTACATAGTCCTGTTTTGGTTTTGCCTAGGGAGGTTGGCTGGACACACGCCTGCCAGGGATGATCCAGCGGACCCTGCCAGGCCGAGTGTTTGGTGGGTCTCCCCGGGCGCACAGCAGCTGCGGACCCTTCACTGCCAGTTGGCAGCGACGGCCCCGGGAGTTTGTTTTTAAACACGAAGCAGCCCCCGGAACTCACCGGCCGGGAGTCGGGAAGGAGCCTCGCGCCTCTTCAGCCCTCTGGACACACGCCTGCCAGGGATGATCCAGCGGACCCTGCCAGGCCGAGTGTTTGGTGGGTCTCCCCGGGCGCACAGCAGCTGCGGACCCTTCACTGCCAGTTGGCAGCGACGGCCCCGGGAGTTTGTTTTTAAACACGAAGCAGCCCCCGGAACTCACCGGCCGGGAGTCGGGAAGGAGCCTCGCGCCTCTTCAGCCCTC